ACATCGCTGGACTCCCACATGGTCAACCACAGCTTGAGTCCCAGACCCAGCTGGGTGCGTGTGTGTGCCCAGAAAATTTTGAGAGGAGAATGGAAGAGAAGGGTTTGCAGTGTGGCCATACCCGTGAGGGTTGATTTCTCACTTTCTGTCTCCCTCTCTTGTCTCTCCAGTGAGTACACATGCCCTATAGCAAAAATCTATCTATAAAAAAAAAAAAGAGCATGCCACTTAAGAATTCATGTTTTCAAATTACTTAAATATAGTCTTGAAAATGCATGAGGTACCATATTATATTTTGAAGCATGAAAGCAAAGTTATCCATCAGTTACTAATCTGACATATGCTCCAAGGAAAAAATGAGACTTGCTCTTTTAAATACCAGAGATAACTACTTCTCACTTAACAGCGTGTATTCTATTGGACTGCGAGAAGGTACAAGATAATTGATTATGTATTCCTGCTTACAAGTCTTTTTGAGAAAAAGCTAGCTATTCCGTATAAAAATATAACATTTTCATATCTGCCGGAATATTCTGAGTGAAATGCTAATTTTCAGAAAGTGCTTATTGTTAAGTCACTATAATAAACATTATGCTAAAAGTACATATTCAAATTAAAACTCATCTCTCCAGTGACATTTGAAACATGCCATCTGTATTGTATGTTCTACAAGAATTCAGAGAACAGCTCTTCTCTATATATAATAGCCACGCTCTTATAAATCAGTTAAAAATAAAATATTTTGCTCTGAGAAAAAAAAATAACTTTTTACCTGTAATTCTCTAAGGGCCATACATTCTTAGATTTCATGGAATATGATTCTAAAATATGTCAGGAGCCATGTGATACATAGAAAAATGAAAGTTCTCAACACAAACAAATGAAAATATGGATGGGATTGATTGCAGAGACAAAGAAATGAAAAATCTCTGTACATTGTTTTAAATTCACTAAGTTAAAACAATATAACCTGAAGTATGTCTTTTGTCCATCTTGATTAGGTCTCTTAAACCCAGTTTAAAAAGCAATTTGCTTAGTTTTTCTAGCCAAAGAGAGAAATGGGGCAAGTACAGTAGACTTTTTAATTGAGACACACTGACAGATTATAACATGGCATCCCATCAGACGACGTGGTGTTTTGACTGCATGGCGACAGAGGGCTATAATTTAAATGCCATTAAAAGCACACGAGCTCTAGCGTGGAGATGGGAATACTGTAAAACCTTTTGCTCTGTAGTCACAATGTAGGTAAAATTGTTCCTTTGATCTTGCAATGCCAATATGCTGTCCAGAAGAGAAATGTCTTTGTGTTTCTGTCTTAAATCCAGATTTAATTTCCATCTAAGTCATTACATTATCACCACATAAAAAGTCAAGTGTATTTTATCAAACAGATGTTAGTTTTCTTCTATTATTTTTTAGGTTGCATTATGATTTTCTAGAACTAGAAAAAAAATTGCCCCAAATACATCCATCTAGGTTTAAAGAGACTAGGCTAACTTCAAAGTCTTGATGGACAACTGAGTGGTGGTAGGTGTATGATAGAAATGAAAAACATTATAGTTTTCTTCTCTTCCTCTTTTTCTTTAAACAGATTTTTTGAAGGTTCTATTTTATTTTATTTTCAGAGAGATTCTTGCTATATGGCACATGTGCTCACCAGAGAGACAGAGAAAGACAGAGAGAAAGAAAGTGAGAAATTACCTCCTCCCGGGGGGGATGGCCACATCGCTATACCTTCACATCTGTTCTATCAGGATTTTGGGCATGCATGCACACGCACCCGGCATGAGTTTTAAACCTCCTGGTCAAGGACTTGAACTGCAGTCGACTATGTGGGAGTCCAGCAACATAACCATTATGCCATCTGCTAGTCCCCAGATTTTTCTTTTTTAAGTAATAGGGCTGTATTTTTTTCATGAGGGTAAGCAGAACATAAACACATTTGACCTCAGTAAGGAATAGTAGCAGCTAGTAGTTGTGTAATCAAATATATGCTACCAAATGGAATACTCACACTGAATCCTCTCTAAAGAGTTGAATACAGAAAATGTTAACAATTTGTTTTGGGTTATCTTTTTAATTTTACATGTATGTATTACATGTTTTAAGGGGATGATTAGGAAGCTTTCCATACAGAGTCTTTATAGGTATTTCTTTGGAAAACCAGATCAAAGGAAGTTGTTGCAATTTGCTCATTGTACATGACCCTCTTAAAATTTTTTTTTGTCAAAAATGTGTATTATTTTTGGGTGATAATAATTTCCAGAATCTAGTGTACTCTAGAATACTTCAGGGCCAAAACACTTATGTTATGACTCTGCTTTACATTTTGTTAAATGAGTGGTCATTTTTTCAAAAAGGAGACACTAAGCCAGGAATACTTTTTGTATATTTGCTATCCATCTCTCTATGCTTATAATATGTAGAACTATTTCCAGTTTCTTTTCCAGGTGAAAAGTTTGGGATGATTGAAAGCAACATGCTTTATGGCCATAAACATGTTATCAAAATCTTGATAACAAACTACTAAAGTCCAATTTGAATAGCTTAAAGACATCTAATGCATAAATCATGTTTCTTTCTTTTTCTTCCTTGATATACTATATTATATGATGACAAAACAACATTCTAAAAGTCTACTTTCTGACCAAGTCTTTGGAAAATTAAAAGCGATTTAGGGACCAGCAGGCAGTGCAGCTAGATCTTAACAGCTACATGGCAGACTGTGTAGTTCGAGTCCTAGACCCGGTGGCTTGAAAAACACACTGAGTGTCCGTGTATGTGTGACCAAAGTCCTGAGAAGAGATTAAAGGAGAAGGAACTGTGGCGTGGCCATCCCTGCTGGGGGTAATGCCTCACTCTTTCTTCCTCACTCTTTTGCTCCATCTCTCTCTAGCAAGTGTACACGCCCTATAGCAAAACAACAAAATAGTGTTTTAAAAAATGTAAGAAGCAGAGAAAAACTTAATCAGCATTATCACTAGCACAAAGCACGCTCAAAGTAAAACAATCGGAACACACTAGACGCTTCTGCAAAACACCTGTCAACAAACAAATAAAATCCAAAACAAAGCCTTCAACTGGATTCCGCATTCACCTTGTTCTAAACATTTGAGGATGGTTTGTATTCAACAGAAACTAGGGCTTCTTTTGCTGTTTGCCCATGGAGGGGCTAACAGAGATGGGTGTTTCCTGATACCCGGCTGTGGTGTACTCTGAGAAGTCTCTGGAGTGGGGCTTCCCTGAGAGCAGTCTTGGGCATCCCATTTGGATTTCTCCCAGAGCTCAATTTATCTGTCAAAGGAGGCCCATGCCTCTTTTCTACAAGTGGATCCCTTGGCAATGAAAAGTACATTGCTGATATTTTATCCAAACCTCTGCAAAACGTAAATGATGTGTAAAAACATCATTATATAAAAATACTTCTGCCTTATTGATTCTGAAAATACTTCATCAGTCTATGAACACCCAGGAAATACACAAGATTAATACAAAATTTCCTACTACTTGTTGCATGCAGATGAAAAGTGAATTATACTTGAGAGGAAAGAAAGCATCATGAACCAGATACCAAAAACAGTCCTAGAAAATGGATTGTATATTTTGTATTTGATTGTGCAATGGCTTTAAAAAAATTATATCAACATCTTTCCGGAATCCATAATTGCTAATGGTTACAAGGACCAGCTCTAGGCACGCAGCCTAGCAAAATTTTCTGGAGCAGTGAAGGTAAACAAAGCAGTCACTATCTGAACAAATACTGCTTGTGTGGTTATTTAAACCCTTGGTATACATCAGAGTATTAAAGGAATAAGAGAAAGCATAATATCACCTGCTTACCATAGGAATAGTTGGATAAAACCAACAAAATACTTAGGCGTACATAGAATCAGTAACATAGAAAGTATATCAAAAATACATTTTACAATGTATTTATAATAGCAGAGATTATAGTCACTGAATAAAAGGCATAAGCAATCATATAAAAATCAACCATTAAATTATGACACCAGGGGCTAGGGAGGAGAGAGAGAGAGATAGAGAGAGGAGATTGAGATTTAATCACTGTGAATGTAAAAGTAAAAAAAAAAAAAATACTCAAGCACAGAGAAATATTAAATGAAATTGAAAATTAGAGCAAACAAAAATATACAATAGAGAATACTGAGGTATTTTGAAGGTAATGTAGGAAAGAAGAAAAAGGAAGACATAAAAACATAAAAATTTATAAACCAAATAAAAATTACATGTAATTACATTGTTGCAGTTATACTATGAATCAGAGCAATTCTCAATCTGTTCCCCAACAAAACAATTTAGTTTCAGGAGATCACTGGCAATCATTTTGATTAGCAAAGTAATTGCAGGCATTACTAAAATCCATTTCATTCTTAATTTGATGAATGAAAAATACTAATGCTCTTTAAATGAAGATAATAATTATTTGTAGCCATTTTAAAGATAAATTAACAATAAATCAATCCAGCAGTCATTTCCTCTGACTATATTTTAAGAATAAAACAATCTGAATAAAACAATTTATAGATTTTATTGGCCCAAAACCACGACAGAGTTGCAGAACTTGAATGAAGCTACCAGGCAGGTGGGATTGCCCAATACTTTAAAATTCTGCACTGCTTTTGGAAGTCTCTTGATTTACAGCAAATGAAAAAGTATCCGAAAATCTTTGTTAACCGAGGCACTGTGTGTGCAAACACATACACAACGATTCTCACACTTTCTAACTCAGTTCTCTTACAACTACTTAAATAGGAGCATCTATTTGGAAAACACTCCTTTCTATCTTGATTGTTGGAGAAAATGATGGCAAAGGGGGATCACCACGGAAAATGTGGAGAGCACTGTGATTATATGCAAAGTGAAGTTTAATTCTCAGACGCATTACTCTGGAGCTATTAATACAACGATTAAATGTGGACTCTGGCCACGATGAGAAAGACAGCATTCAACACAAGTCAGTCGTTCAGACTCTAACATGGTGTACACTTGCATAAGATTCCAAAATGTGGCTGCCACAAAATACTGTGATCTCCAATATCCAGGCTTTCTGAGCTGCCCGAAAATATGGGAACAATGAGGGCTCTCTGGAATGCACAGTTAACTTCCTGCTGTAGGACAGGAGTCACAGCTGCTACAGTAGCACTGGCTTTCCAGATGTCAAGGCTGTAAGGAGAGTGAGGTAATTGCAGGAAGGAAGGGATACAATTTTGTCATCACAGATTATCCTCCCATTGAAAACCCTGGAAACGGCATTAATGTCAGCACTTTGGATACGCACATTACGAACTGCAGGTCTTCAAGTTGAAGGGTGGAGGTTTGCACATTTGCTTCTGTGGGAGAGGATGGGCCAGTATTATTTAAATATGTGGGAAACAAAGAGTAAGCGCTCTCTAAACTGTTCCACTGATTTATAAAGTGTCTCTGTTAATAGGTGTTATCACCAAAAATTGGTCTTACAAGGCCGAGAACCAAATAATAAGGTTTAGCTGGGTTTCAGTGCTAGAGTTTATCCTTTGCATTGAGAGGAAATAAAAATGTACAGACAAAGAGATTCATTTAAGGCTGTCTGGATTCTAGTGACTGGGAAGGGGAGGCAGGATGATAATTTTCCAGTATTCAACCAGCAATGATTTCCTAACTTCCCCTGTTACGTAGTCAAATTCTACAACTTACTAAAAACTGTGTAAGCTTTTATTAGGAAACTAGAATCAAAGTGCCATATTTCTACAGGGCAATTTCGAAGACTACATTATTTTGGTATGCGTATACATTTATTCATAGATGATTGATCTTAACTGAAGGAAGGTGACTTGGCAGTTTCTCATTTTTTTCTACCTAAAGATCTCTACTACTTTTTGTACTGAGTGTAGATGTTAATTTAATCTTCTTAGTAGACACACAGAATCGAGGTACCTTGGTTTCACCAAACATGAGGCAGGGTTCTGGATACTGTGAGGGTTATAAGAAGTGGTCAGTTCTGAACTCAGTGTACCACCCGTGGAGACAGAGACTCACCTCCCTCATACCACACCCCTCTCCTTTGACCAAAACACGAAGCTTCGAAGCTTCGCACAATGTTTCGGGGGCACTGCATGTTGCTGTTGATCCCCACTGAGCTGATGACGCCAGCTCAACGCCCTGTCCCACCTGCGGTCCTTACAGCTTGTCTTTCTGACGCTGAGGAACACTGGAGCTGGGATGAGAGCTCTATGGCTGTCCTGTTAAGCATGACACATTAGGGACTGTGACAGCTGGGGGGCCGCTGACTGCAGATCTGTCCTCATCTGCATTAAGGGCGCATACTGGCCTGGCCACAGGCAGTCGCCTCAGGTACCTTGGACAATTGTTTTTTTGTGTTTTGTTTTTTTTTGTTTTGTTTTGTTTTGTTTTGTTTTTAAATTCTGGATAATGTACTCACTGTATTAGATGCCCTGTAGTTGTAAGATATATTAAATTTAATAGGATTGTGCTAAAGTTTTTATGAAAATATTGAATTAGTCAGGCTTTGCAGTACATTTAAGGTATAAAATCTAAAAAGATAAGGGGTGATGGGATACTTCAGGGAGGGTGAACAGTAAGGGGGAGAGAATGGTTAATTCTTTTGAGGGAGCTGGAAAAGGGATGATTAAAAATATGAATGAGATATTGATAAGAAGTGTTTGGCAGTCCAGGAAATCGAGCTTTTACTTTTTGGTGGACAGTTAAAAAAAATAAATAAGTAAGTAAAAATAAGAGAGTTTCAGATGATTCCAATCTCTGTTTGGGAGCAGTACAGCAGTTTCACTTTTCTCTTAAGAAAGCCTGTCTTTCCATAGCACGTGAAGAATCTTTTATGAAAACAACTAGACCTACAGGTGGCAGGGTGGTTGGTGGTTGGGGCACTGGACTCCCAAATGGCAAACCGTGATTTGAGTCCCAGACCTGATGGCTTACTTTTTCACTTTCCCTTTGTTTCTCCCTCTCCCTGGTCAAATTAAAAATTAATTAATTAATTAAATATAAATAAATAAAAACAACCAGTGTTGGGGCTAGCAAACGTCATGGTGGTTAAATCCCTGAACTCCCACATGACTGACTCTGGTTTGAGTTCCGGATCCAGCAGCTTGAAAATTACAGTGGGTGTATGTGCGTGCATGCCCACAATCCGAGAGGAGAATGGAGGAAAGGGACTGTGTCATGGCCATCTCCTAGGCGGTGATTTCTCACTTTTTCCCTCGCTGTCTCTCTGGCTAGCAAATGTGCCCTGTTGCACAAAGCTTAAAAACAGTCTTGGGCTGCACTGCAGCACAGCAGTAAAACACAGCACTCTGCAAAGCAGAAAGAACCACAGGGCAAGCTTGCTGGTTTGTATCCGGAGACCTTTCTAAGCATGCTGGGCACACTTGTGCCAATGACCTGAGCTGGCAAAGGCTGGTGATGGATCCTGGCATGAAGACCCATGGGTACTCTCTCTCTCTCTCTTACTCATGGTATAAATAAATAAACTTAAGGGGGGAAATGTCTTACAAGTCATTCTTCCTATTGGTAAAGCTGATTTGGTCTTTTGCAAATAAGCAAACACATATTCATACAACATATCTATCTGTATGTACGTGGTCTTTGCCACTTTCTATAATGAGAAAATTGTCCAGTCAAACTAACATTAGGCACCTGCAGTTAAGCATGTCTCTAGGACAGTGACTTTCTGGGCCATGGAAAACTTGAGAGTATGTTAGAAATGGAACTTCTTGAGACCAGCAGATAGTGAGATGGTTACGTTGCTGGACTCCCATGTAGTCAACCGTGGTTTCAGTCTCAGACCCAGCGGCTTAAAACGCACACCAGGAGCATGTGCGTGCATGCCCAGAACCCTGAGAGGAGAATGGAGGAGGAGGGATTGTGGTGTAGCCATCCCCCCAGGGGTTGATTTCTCACTTTGTATCCCTATGTCTCTCTGGCAAGCATATGTGCCCTATAGCAAAACAAAACAAACAAACAAAAAACTCTTAAAAAAGAAAAGAAAGAAAGAAAGAAAAAAAGGAAATGTAGCTTCTTAGGCCTTGTCTCCTGAAGCAGAAACTCGGGTCATGAAGTCCAGCAATCTGTATGCTAGCAATCCCTCCAGGTCATTCTGATACAAGTAACATTTGGGCAACTTTGACCCCCCCCCAAAAAAAATAGTGACAATGTATTGCTAATGGATACTGTCATTTCTTTTCAACTTAAACATATTCACCATGAGAAATGTTTCATCGTGTTTTAATTTCTCTAGCAATAACTCCAGTTTTCCTCTTTATTGCAGGTCATATCATTTATTACCAAGGAAGGAGTTCACTATAATTAAAAATACAAAATAGAAAACCAAAGCATTGTTACCTAAGTCTTCATAGACTATAAGCATAACACCATTTTCTAACATAGTTTCAACAAGGGGAGCTACAAAGTCTTCTCAGTTTTATGTCTAAACCTTGACACTGCAGATTCCACATGATACATTAAGGGATAATACAACTAATGCTTGAAAGGAATTGAGCCCGTATCTGTCCTTTGTGAATAACGCCAGGTCTTTATGGCAACCTGTTATCTCACCATTCATGGATCCAGAGAATTTATTAAAATCTCGAATCTTTAAATATAATAACTAAATAAATGCTAGCACATTTAAATTTTTGTGCCTTCACATCCACTAGTGGAGGGTCTTGTAGGAGATTCTTAGCAGTTTTGGAAAAGATCCATAAAACTCATAAAAAAATGAAGGGCAGATCAGTTTAGTCAACCCAGATGCTCAGTGAAGATTGCACACACTCATTAGTTATTTATAAATGAACTAAAACGAAGATATCATCATTTAGTAAATATGAATCAGTCACATATATATAAATATATTTAAATCATTAATATATATGTATTTATATATGAATGAGATTTTTGCTATAGGGCACATTCACTTGTCAGAGAGTCAGAGAAAGATAGACAGACAGAAAGTCAGAAATCACCCCCTCCCGAGGAGGGCAGGGAGGGAATGGCCACATTGTAATCTCTTCTTTTCCACTCTCCTCCTGGAATTTTGGGCAGTCTTGTACATACACCTGGCATGAGTTTCAAGCCACCGAGTCCAGGGCTCAAACTGCAGTTGACCATGCGTGAGTTGAGCACCCCAACTACTATACCACTTGCTGGGCCCTATATATCTTAAATATATATATTTTACATATATGTATAAATATATGTCTGTGTATGTATATGTGTGTGTGTGTGTGTGTGTGTGTATATATATTAGTAAAACTGCTAGAAAGTGGCAGTGCTAGAGGAAGAGAGAGCAAGCAAGAAACCACTCAACAATGGGGTATAGTCACACCACATCCTTTTTCTTTCATCTCTCCATCCCGTCAGGATTTTGGACCCATGTTCCCATGTGCCCAACATATTTTTTAAGCCACCAGGGCCATAATTTGAACTAAGGTCGAGCATGTGGGATGCAGCTCCATATGCACAGGACTTAAACCTCTGCTCCACAGGCTGGCCCTCGTGTCGTTTGTTTTGTTTTGTTTTGTTAAAACTAATCAAGCTTTTACTGGTTTAACAACTTCTCCAATTTACTGAAGAATAATGAGTCAATGCTATTTGATGTACTTTGTTCCGTGTCCTTAAACTTAAGATTCTGTACGTCTTGGCTATTTCTCTTTTGATCGGTTGCCTCCTAGGAGTCTATGTGATTATATATATATAACTTTTCTCGGCTAAAATATGTTTCCACCAAAAATAAATAAATAAATAAAACCCACAAAGGTGTATCAAGTCCATAGGTTCTCTGCCATCCCCTTAGTTTTATTTTCATTTATTTTGTAAGATGATAGTCCATACTCTAGGCACATGGTTAGTAGTCCACTTTAACAATAATCTCCCAGGTTCTCTTCAGATAGTTTTCTTTTACTTTCAATATTTGTGTGCCATCCTAGGAAAAGCACGAGATGACCACTCTTCTGATAAAATCAAGTAGAGCCCTTCTAAAAGGATCTGTGTTGCTCTCTGCTGCATATTCTCTTTTGAAAACATATTGCCACATTTAACTGTAATACACAAGAAACCTTTTTTGTATCCAATCACAAACATTTTACATTAAGTTATCTGGCTTTACATTGCAAATTGTCAAATAAACATGAAGTATGAGCTCATATACGACATCCCTTAAAATGGATGTTACCTAGCAAATATCCCAAGTGACAAAGGCACCAGTAAGATTCCTAATTTTTGTATCTTTAGAAATATTTTCAATATAGAACTGTTCTTCGCTTTGTGTATATATATATATATACAAACAAAGTTTCTATTAAACTAATACTACAACCTAACATATCTTATACCACATGAAGATAAAAGAAGCAGCAGGAAAATAAAAATAAAAATAAAAATAAATGCCTAGACAAGTGGTCTCCCATGGGGAAATTTTCGTTCTCAAGAAGACACTGGGGAATTTCTGGGTAGCAACATGGCAGGGGAGGAGTACTATCGGCATCCCTCAAGGTTGCTGATAAAAAAGCCTCCAGTGCGCAGGAAGTCTCTCCATGACAAAGAATTATCTAGTCCAAAATATCCATCGTGCCACTGTTGAATAATCCTGGTGTAGAGAAAAACATAGTGTTCTCTAGCCAGTATAAATTGGCCACAGTTACTATAATCTATGTCACGCACTTGGGAAATGAAAGACTTGCATCACAGTGGTATAACTCTGATACATGAACGAGATGTGTTCTTCTGAAACTCAAAATCTCCCCTTCCACTCTTATTCCCAAGCCCTAGGGAGAGCTTTCCTTCTCAGTGCAGAAAAGAGAGCTAATTATTACGGACCAGTGTAAATGGTCTAACGTGCTCTGTATTGACAAAATTATGTGGCACATACTCTTTGAAGTTTTAACTTTGCTCTTCAACTTCTTTTTCTAAAAAGCAATTCATTACATGTTACTTATTTGAAATAAAACTGCATCTTGCAAAAGTAGTCACTTCCCTATCTGTGTAATAATAAAACCTACTTTTTTTTTTTTTTTTTTTTTTGGAGAGGTTTTTGCTATAGGGCCCATGCACTCGCCAGAAAGACAGAAAGAGACAGAGAGACAGAAAGCAAGAAATCACGCCCCTCCCCCCCAGGGGGGATGGCCATTCCATAATCCCTTCTCCTTCATTCTCCTCTCAGGGTCTTGGGCATGCATGCACATGCACCCAGAGTGAGTTTAAGCCACGGTGGAGACTCGAACCTCAGTCAGCCATGTGGGAATCCAGCATCTTTAACCACCACACTACCTGCTTGCCCCCAAATAAGATTTCTTATTCAGATTTTATTTCTTTCTACATTTTCTTTATGATTGAAAACTAGCAGCTACATATTGCAAAGAAACTTCGACACGTTTGTGGAAAAATAGAATTAAAGTTTTTGTGGGTGCAAAAAACTTGAAATTCACACGGCTTTTTCATAATGTGCATTTTATACAATTTTTTAAAGACCACTAAGAAAGCACAGCCCACTATTAAACAAAATACACTTTTGATTAATAAACACCTACCTTTTCTTTTTAAAAGGCTTTTGTCGTAGGGTGCATGCACTCTTCAGAGAGAGACGGTGAGAGGTAATGTGAGAAATCACCCCCACCCAAGAGAGATGGCCGCACCTCAAACCCTTTCCCGCACTTCTCCTGGAATTTTGGGTACTCATGCATATGTGTCTGGTGTGAGTTTCAAGTCACCAGGTCTGAGACACAAAAGACGGTCGGCACGTGGGAGTTCAGCACTTTCCCACCATGCCACCTGCAGGTTCCTAATAAATATCTTTTAATGTTTCTTCCCAAAACTCCTACAACAGCTGCAGGAAGGTCTTCTCGTGTATATACGATGACCTTTTCTTTTCTCATTTTTAGACAAAGGATGCTTCTAGGCTTCTCTGGTTAAAGATGCCCTTCAAAATGTTGCATAATTTCACAACAGTTACCAGTGGACAAATGTAGCTGTGTATTTATCATTTATCTGCCATGTAAAAGCCGCAGAGTGGGAATAATGTACTTTTGTGCAATCTGATTTGAATTTTCATTGAGTTATATCTTCCAGTGTTGTTTGTAGATTACAGGCAGGTGAGGCACAGCTGTACTTCCTGTCCCTGAAGATTCTGGGAGAGGCAGTTTGGCATGAAGCCTAATTATCCCACAAATGTTTGATCATAGATATCTTTATTAAGCGTACAGACACCACACACCTACAACTTCGGATATCATAGATCTCCTCTTACAGCGTTAAGATAACGTTTTAAGCCCTCATGTTTCAGATTACTCTACAGAAGGACTGGGAAAAATAATAATCATATTCATCCTCATTTGTACTGATTTCCCTGTACTTTTTGGCTAAAGAAATGCAATTTTTCATAAATTTCAATTTATTATATTGTAGTGTCTACATCTTTGATATTTAAACTATGACAATAATGGAAATAGTTCAAATCTAGATGATATTTAGATGAATTTTAGGCCCCTGAAACACAAATTAAACCTGCAGGCTACCCCAAATTAAGAGTTTTTTAGTATAATTATTTCTATTATACTTAGATGTATCCCCAATGTTTGGGGACTGAAACATATGCCCTGAATAAATGGCGAATAGCATTAGATTGTGGAAACTGAGAACCACTTAATTTAAAGGTCCATCTTTAACTGAAGAGATGATAATCTTTTAAACATTTAAATCAAATATACTTTCAAAACTTAAAAGTCGACCCATTAAACTGCTTGTTTAGACATATCTAAGGCTTGCCCTGTTCTCCTCAAGGCCACATGGCAGGCTTTATGCAGTGGTCATTCTACCTGTTTAATATACAGAAGTACTCATTTCCAATGACATTACTATACACATTTTTACATCCTGTTTCAAATATTAATATGAGAGAACACTTCTTTTTAAAACTTGCTTTTTTTTCCCTAGAAAAGCTAGAAAGCTAGTTCAGGGGTATAATTAAAAATACAAAAGCTCTGCTGAGTAAATATTTATTGGTATTTTTAATATCTTGGTTTTTAAAGCATTTAATCCATTAAGTCTCCCAGTGCAAACTGTGTTTCCTATAGAACACCACCAACTGTCTCCAATAATAGACTTTAGCTGTTTATCTGCAACTCACTTTCTACCCACTTCCCCGCCAGACTAATTCCTATGAAAATACTCAAATGAGAGGATAGATGAATTTTTTCTATTTTTTTTCCAAAAAAGGACAGTGCTAACAATGGGGAAAAAACCTTCTGACTTTCCAGTACGACTTAGGAAATAGCTTACCTTCTTTTCTTCTGGGAAATCCTTACAGCTGGTGAACACTACCGAACTGTGAGTAATAAATAATCAAAATACAAAAAAGTCAAGTAGAGGTGGTTCTTGTATTCAAAATCAATATTCATTTACATACAGAAATTTACGTACAGAATCCCTGTTGGCGTATATCGTACATATGTAGAGGTCAGAAGATACATTAACAATTAAAAAGTTTTGCTGTATGAATAATATTTTTAAACCATTTCAATAAATATTCTTACCTTCGTTTTTTTAGAGAGAGCGATTTTTGCTCAAGGACATGTGTGCTCTCTGGAGAGACAGAGAGAGGGTAAGTGAGAAATCATCCCCCAGGAGAGATTGCCACGCCATAGTCCCTTCCCCTCCATTCTCTTTTTGGGATTCTGGGCATGTACGCACACACGCCTGGCGGATAAGCTAGACAGGCTCTTACATCTAGTATTTTATTGGTGATCTTGTTACTATTAAAACTTTATGCTTCAAATTACTCCATCTACAGGTAGGGCTATTTGACACTCACATGTAGACAAGTGTTCTGCAAAACCACTCTAGGGAAGGGGCTGCTTCCTACAGTCATAGCATGTTCAAAAAGAGCTGCTCTTGATAAATGGAGAAGACTCTTCGAGATGCAGTGTCTCCTTGCAAAACACACCCTCTTTTTTTTAGGGTCACCCAGTCTGGAAGAGTAGTCAGAAGATAAACAGCTATTGTTTAAAAAAAAAAAAAATCAGGAAATGGGAAGAAGGTAAGTAAAATATGGGATCATCAAACACAGGAATATAATCAAATGGAAAGTAGGGGGACACAGATCTGGGGGATAAAAATTAACTGAGAGAGGGAAACAGCAAGGAGCCACCACTACGCAGTGCACTGTCAGAACAGGGCCTGACTTGCTGGTAGGTAGAAGTGTTTTCTTCACAGATTCTGTCCTCGGGTCTTTCCATTGCCCGGTCCCCACACTGATTCAGTTGCCACCACAGAGACAGAATGCAACTCTGAGCTAGTCCTGCAGCACCGTGGAAGCGCCTAAGGAGCAGGATCTCACATGGTTGACTGAGGTTCAAACCCTGGGCCTGGTGGCTTGAAAAACAACAGGATAGAGAAATGGAAGAGAAGAGATTGCACTGTGACCACACTCCACAGGGGAGTGCTCTCTCTCTTTCTGGCAAGGGTACATGCCCTCTGGCAATGTAATTTTTAAAAAAAAGAAAAGAAATTATAACATTCAACCTTTCATTACATCCCTCTTACCTATAATCCTCTAGTTCCAGTATGTCTGACCACTTGACAAAAAATTTTTTTTTGACTGTTGTTGTTTTGTTTTGTTTAAATTATTGTAGCTTTGAAGCAACACTTAAATATGCTTTACGCATAGAGACAGTAGACAGCCTGGAAACCCTTGATGAGAAATAAAAAAAAAAAAAAAATCCTGCTGGGAAGATAAAATGGTACACAGGGCACACAATGATAATTCACATAATTGAGATTGTCATGTGTCTTATTAAAAGCCATCATTTACCTGAAGGTCTTTCTTGAAAAAAAATGCTAAGATACATTACAAATTTTACATAAGGATGTTTTTCAAAGCCTTACTGATCTATTTTCATATGTCTGTTGTTTGGTTGGGTCCTTCAAAGGGCTTCAAGGTTTACTTTTATACTGAAAAAGAAGGAGATGAAAGCTATTATTTGAATACAGTGTTGCGTTCAGTGGCACCAAGATGCTTATTATCACTGTCCTGATGAGACAGGCGAAGCTGCGTGCGGATGCCAGCCGCTCCTAATGTGTGTTTAGGTGCCCTGTCTGCTGGTTCGCCTAAGTGATGTGGCATACGCTTGATGAAAGGACAGTAAACAACATCAATTATAAAAGACATCTGTTAATGAGAGGAAGAAAAGGAAGAGAAAGAGACTGGGGGGGACATTTTCTGTGCTGCAGAAAGAGGGAAGCATTTTGATTGCACTACAGGAGTTGACGTACCTTCATCATGCCCTAATTGTAGAGTACAGCTAACCACGCTCTCTGCTCTTCTTTGGGGAGATGACATGTGTCTTCAACTTCTGTGGAACTGTCACTGAAGATGTAGATCAAACTGCATTCTGTTTCCTTCATGGATTGATCATTTTGCCAAGATCCCTCTATGAAACACAATAAAACAAGAAGATACTATGTGAAACTCAGGCCATGCTTCAGCAAATTAGTTAAAACCGATTTTTATGCTCTGAATGGGGGATGTTTGTTAGTCCCTCAGTAGGGGATCTGTCAGCTTCTCATGCCCTGCATGTTCTCTTTTAGGGCAACAAATTTGACCCCTGAAAATACTGCTTAAGATTTTTCCCCCTTTGTAAAAAAAGCCTTGTCAAAATAACAATCAGAGGGGACCAACACATGGCATAATAGTTACGTTGCTGAACTCACACATAGTTGACCATGGTTTGAGTCCTGGACCCAGCAGTTTAAAACTCACACTGGGTACATGTGCATGAATGCCCAAAATCTCAAGAGGAGAATGGAGGAGAAGGGATTGCAGCATGGCCAGGCCCCTAAGGGAGTGATTTCTTGCTCTCTTTCTGTCTCTCTCTCTCCAGGGAGTACATGTGCCCCATAGCAAAAATCTCTTTCTAAAATAAATAAGTAAATAACAATCTGAGACACATACAGAGATAAATAGTTTTGCCTACCTCCAGTATACTATTATTATGTATGGATCACTTTTCTCTTGAAAACATTTCCAATGTATAGAAACATTAAAAATATTTAGTAATATTACCACAATGATTAACAAAGTCTAGATTTTATTCTCAAACATCTTCAATATATTTGCTGTTTTTATCATCTAAATTCTGTAAGGAAACTTATTTATCTATCTAATAATATGCTATCTTTATATCATTCTTCAAATATATGATAATAGTTGAATTCTCAAATAACAAAATATTGAATGTGATTAAACAATATGATTGATTTCTCTTTTAATTAGGCTAAATGAAAAACAAGCAATTGTATTTCATTTTTTAAATACTAAATTAGGAAGTTTTGATATTTTGTTAAAAAATACTCGGAGACAATGTTTAGAATTTATGTCTGTGGATATTCTTAGGTTAATCATAATAGATTCTCTCTTTAGGAGTGTGTTTCTCAACTTTCTCTTTTTTCCTAGTTTGTTTTAGGGCATGCACATTCAATGAAGACAGAAAGAGTGGAGAGAGAGAGGGAAAGTGAGAAAGCACAACACAATTCTTTCTCCCCCATTCCTCTCTTGGGATTTTGGGCACGCACACATACGTGCCCAACCTGTTTTTAAAACACCTGGTCAAGAAATCAGCAGTTAGCGTAATGGCTATGTCACTGGACTCACACGTAGTCGACCGCGGTTCATGTCCCGGACCCGGTGGCTTAAAACTCACGCCAGGCGCGTGTGCGTGCGTGCCCAAGATCCCGAGAAGAGAATGGAGGAGAAGGGATTGCGGTGTGACCATCCCCCCTGGGGGGTGATTTCTTGCTTTCTGTCTCTATGTCTCTCTCTGTCTGTCTGGCGAGCGCACGCGCCCTACCGTGAAAATCTCTCCAAAAAAAAAAAAAAACCCTGGTCAAGAATCACACTGCACAGTTGGGCATGTGGAATCCGGCCACCTTCACCTCCACCCCACCTACTGGCCCTCCACTACTCTCATTTAAGAAGACCATCAATCTATACACAAACAACAAGTTGAACAAAGTGGAGCTGAGAAAAGGAATCTCTTTTACCATAGCCACAGAATGTGTAAGATACCTAGGGATAAACCTAACTAAGGAAGTCAAAGACCTTAACAAAGAAAACTATGAAAATCTTTAAAAAGATATTGAAAATGACACAAAAAAGTGGAAGGACATCACCTGTTCCTTGTTCAAAATAATATAATAAAAATGGAAATTCTACCCAATTAATCTACATATTTAATGCAATTCCAATAAAAATACCAGAGACATTCATAACAGATCTAGAAAAGAAAATCATAGAATTTGTCTGGAATCATAAAGACCTTGTATTGCTAAAGCAATACTATGCAAGAAGAGTGGAGTGGGTGGCATACCCTTCCCTGACCGAAAAATATACTATAAATATACTATAAAAACTGCAATAATCAAAGCAACATAAAAACAGATACATGGACCAATGGAATAGAGACCCCAGAAATAAACCCCAAAGCTTACAGCCAACTGAGTTTTGACAAAGGATACCAGTTAATCCACTGAGAAAAGGAAAACCTCTTTAGTAACTGGTGCTGGAAAAAATGGGTATCCACCAGCAGAAAGATGACACTGAATCCTCGTCTTTCACCATGAGCAAAAATCAACTCAAAATGGATTAATGATCTGAACCTGAGACCTTAAACTATAAAACTACTGGTGGAAAACACTACGGAAACTCTGGGAGACATTGGGGTAGGCAAAGACTTCTTAAATAAGACTCCCAAAACATGGGCGATAATCCCTAAAATAGACAAGTGGGACTATAGCAGATTTAGAAGTTTCTGTAAGCCAAGGACACTGTAATTAGTGTGAATCTACAATCCTCAGAATGAGAGAATATTTTTGTAAAATAACTAAAATAGACAAGTGGGACTATAGCAGATTTAGAAGTTTCTGTAAGCCAAGGACACTGTAATTAGTGTGAATCTACAATCCTCAGAATGAGAGAATATTTTTGTAAAATAAGCCTCAGATAAGGGACTAATAACCAGAATACACAGCGAACTCAAGTGGCTTATCCAAAAAAAAGAAAAAAAAATGACTAACCCAATTAAAAGATGAGAAATGAGCTGAACAAAAATCTCTCTAAGGAAGACACATGAACAGCCAAAAAGCATATGAGGAAATGCTCAACATCCTTCATCATAAGGGAGATGCATATTAAAACCACAATGAGATACCACCTAACCCCCTGTCAGAATGGTGAAGATTAAAAATACAAAAAGTGATAAGTTTGGGTGAGGTTGTGGTGAAAGGGAAACTCTCCTACACTGTTGGTGGGAATGTAAATTGGTCCAGCCATTGTAGAAAACAATATGGAGGTTCCTCAAAGATTTACAAATGGAGCTACTATTTGATCCAGCAACTCTATGACTGAAATTGATTGACCTAAGGATGTAGAAACACAAGAGATGCGGGTTAGTGCCAGATGTGGAGTGTGTGGAGACCCAGGACCTAAGAAAGGACATTTGGAGGAGGGATACAGAGGCAGAGCATTGATGGGATGGGGAGGTGTGGGGTTATGGGTTGAAGGTATTTTGATCAACAGGACTGGGGAGAAATGTTCACATACTGAAATGTTCACTTTGTAAGTTAAATAATGTGATTGAATATATATAAAAATTTTAAATAAAAATAATAAAGGACAGGAAAAAACTCGGTTAGAAAAGTGCTTGCACATCAATGTTTATTGCAGCATTATTCATGATCACTAAGACATGGAACCAACCCAAATGTTCACAAACATATGAATGGATTGAAAAAGTGTCGCACATATACTCTATGAAATACTATTTGACCATAAAAAACAACAAGACCTTGGCATTTGATAGAAAGTGGTTGAATATGGATGATTTATTGCTAAGTGAAGCAAGCCAGGCTATGAAAGAAATATATTGTATGTATCTACTTAATATATACCAACTATCCATACTCTATGATAGAGACTGAAATACTGAAGGTCATAAAAGCAGTGAAAATAGTAATGGATGCTGAAGACAGGGTGGAACAGGATGGGGCGGCATAGGGGAGAGTATAGAGAAGGATAACATGAGAACAAACAAAGAGGAATGACATTTGTGGGAGACAGAAATGGTTTATTACTTGTAGATGAAAACACATATAGTATTCTCAAATGGACCAGTCTGAGAAGTGTTTCATGTTGGGTAAATTCTCTCTACAAGCCTAATGATATATAGTGATTGAATATTTAAAAAATAATAATGAGAATAAATAATAATAATATGAAAAAAAGACCATCAATCTTTTCTTAAATATTTTCCATATTACAATAAGCTTTCGTCCCATGGTATTCTGGGTTTATTGACATCTGGGCTGAGTCTCCAGGGCCTGTTTAGGAGGCACCACTGCAGAGGGACAGATGACCCTGCGGACTGAACTGCAAGGAGGCGTGTGCAACATCTCCACCTGTCTTCACTGCTCTTCTGTTTTCATAGTGGAGGCAGGAGGTGTGGCAGAATGGGGAGGAGCAGGATATGACCCAAGTTTTCTGCCTGGGGTTTCCATGTCCCCCTAGTTCCCTTGACTCATTGAGCTACTCTGTGCACATCCACTTGGTAGTCAAAAGACTTAAGAAGAAGAATTAATATACTGAATGTGTTAGATATTCTTTGAAGAATTTAATGTGACAGAGTATCAGATTTAATCTTGAGGCGTTCTTCAAAGTGAATGAATGCGCCAATAATCTGGTCTAGGGTACAGCGACTACATAGCTGCGTACTCATTTATGTCACTGAATTCACCAGGGACATCTTGTCCTTATTAATGGCACTAAACTGTTTTGCATATTAAGCTTTAAAGTTTTTCTTTTTCTTTTACATTTTTGCCATAGGGCATGTGAGCTCACCAGAGACAGAGAGACAGAGAAAGAGGAAAAGTGAGAAAGAAATCACCCCCCCAGGAGAGATGGCCAGGCCACTTAAAAAAAAATTAAATACAACAAATGGTTTGTACCCACAAACACACACTTTTTTTTTTTTTTTTTTTTTTAGAATTTCACTATAAGGCACATGCACTTGCCAGAGAGACCAAAAGATAGAAAGCTAAAAATCACCTCCTGGGAGGATAGCACACCATGATCGCTTCTCCTCCATTCTCCTCAGGATTTTGGGCATGCATGCACATGCACCCAGTTGCCTCTCTGTCTCTCTTACTCATGGAGTAAAAACTTTAATTTAACCTTTTTAAAGTTATACTCCCAAGTTCTGAAACCAATGCTGCCTTTCGATAAGCTAAAGATAAATACATGCATGGATAGGCGAGTTATCCTTAATACTGCAAATGAAATAGCAGTTTCATTCATTAAAGTTATACATATCGTGTGTGGGGGCCAGATGTTGGCACAGTGGTAAAACATGGCTCTGAAAGGCTGATCCACATAGGAAGG